CCCCAAAACCCCAAAACCCCAAAACCCCACTGGATCAGAATTGAATAGATTCTGATGAAGATTTTTAATTTCATTTATGATTTTTACTTAATTACTTGGAAGTAATATTTGCTTTCAAATTCACCTAAAATATAATGAAAATTAACCTGACAATATTCTCACTTGCTTTTATTAACGGAATAAAGGAAGGATTTTTTATAATTATTGCACCATTTTTGCCTGAATAATTTGAGAAAAAGAGCATTTCACCCAGTCTATTCACACCGTTATTTGTGTATGAATCTATATTATACTAAATTTGATATCATTTTTACCTAAATTGTTTTAGCTCGTATACTATCGCATCATTCTTTACTGCTCTGCTTATTGGTAAATTATAAACAAAATACGGAAGGTCTATAATGATTCGAATTGGATGTATATTTAATGCTATTGCAGCAGGAGGTTTCATGTCACTCGAATATGTTAACTCAGTGTAAATATTCCATAACTCTAAATTTTCAGTCCAATTTTCTTGGGCATTGGATTTTGTTCAAGAATTATTCAAGGGGTTGCTACTGGATTGTTATAAACAGCTTGTAATTTATATACTTTTTAATAATTCATAGCTTTTGCTGAACTATCTATGTAAAATCCTGATAATTAAGAAGAAGTAGTCTCTCAATTAGAGTTTGGTTCAGGTATTATTGACTCAAATTTAATTTTTAGGGTTCGGTTCTGTGGTTGGTTTACTTATTTCCTCTTTCTTGTCTTATTTAGTAGGCTATCAAGGACCATTCGCCTTTTGCGGTAAAATCAATTTATTTATTAATTAAGTTTAGGAATTGTTTTTCTGTTTTTTGGGGTGTTCCAATCAAGTCTGATAAAATTTGTGCCAAAGAATTATGATCCGAAATCCCAAGAAAAGGTGATGAAGTAAAGGAAAAAAAGTATGGTTATGAATAAAGAAATGGTTATTGGATTTTAAGCAAATGATTTCTACTAAATACAGAATGATGACTTCGAAATTATGAGAAATAATTAAATAGTAGAAATTGAACTATCAGATAAAAATGGAAAGAAGTAGAAAGAGGAAACTGTTTTTAAGTTAAGATCCAAAATTGAAAGAGTCGACACTGAGAATGATCTAGATGATAAATCAATAAATGTAGATATTGTTAAAGACATAGAAGATAGTCCAAGAGCAGAGAGTCTTATGAATAATTCTGGACTGATCATTGATGATCAAAATGATAAGTTAGAGACTAGTATTCCAAAAGATAGAGTTCACTATCTACATATATTATAGTCTCCACGAGGTCTCATGGCATGTCTAGATATTATTTTATGCTGCTAAATGTTCACTTTTTGCGACACAAGTCTCCCTTACTATCTTGAGGAGGAGTTTGGATTTAATCCAAGTATAGTTTGCTTGGTTTTTGTAGCTCAGAGTATAGCCTTTGTAATTACTTGCTTATTTGCGTCTAAACTTACCAAAAGATTCAATTTGATGTTGTGCATTATTATCGCTTAAGTAATTTAAGGAGTATCTGCTCAGCTCATTGGTCCAAACTAAATGATTCAATTGCCAAAGCTCTATTGGCTTACTATATTGGGACTCTTGATTAACGGAGGTGCCAGTTCTATGACTATTATACCACCATATAAATAACTTGAAATCGCCTTATTTGAATTTAAAGGCAAAAATTTTGATCATGAGGCTATTAAAGACACTGTCTCTGGTGGCTTTAATGCTTTGTATGATTTAGGAGCTACTACTGGTCCTGTCTTTGGATATTATGTTACAGCTTTGACAGATTTCACCTTCACATCTAACCTGCAAGGCTATTTGCTATTTTTTGTATCATTGATTTAGCTTTTGTTCTTTTATATCCCAGAAAAGCTGGAGGAAAATAGAAATAAAGTAATAAAGATTAAACCTACTACAATTGCTTCAGAATAAAATTTAAGAGAATAAGATATTAAGCGATTGTAATAAAGAATGAAAGATTAAATTGATCGCTAAATAAATATGACATAATGAATCGAGTTTGATTATAATTGTTCTATGATCATTGTTACTCTAGGTTGATATCAAATTGATTTAAAGTTTCCACTAAAGGTTTCATTAACTTTTAATCTTATGAAATTAAATTTGATTACTTGAAATCGCATTCAAACCTCGATTTAATTTATATTATAGTTGTGTAACTTCGATTATTATCACATGGGGTTTTGGGGTTTTGGGGTTTTGGGG